TCCACTCTTATGTAACACCCCACTTCCCCCGTTTCTCATATGCAATCATCGGCCCTTCTGAGATGGTTTAGTCCAACCTTCTAATTTTAGATCAAGTCAAAGCCAAGGCGGTTCCAGGCTCCACTGGATCTCTTGGCTGTGCCCTGCAGACCTGAGATGAGAAGCTAAGGGTATTGAATCTTGACCGCAAATACTCTCCTGTGTGACAGTAACCTTTCTCTCTTTCAATAATAATATTAGCCTATGCCTAAGCACAACAATATTCTATACCTACAGCAATATCTGTATCTTCAACATGACAAACGTAAAGTTAATAATAAAAATTCACTAGATTCTTAAGACAGCTAAGATTAATCAGCTGAATTCAATTTTTAAAAATGTATTAAATAACTATAATATACAAAGCATAGTAGCAATAAGGGATTGCCAAAGAGCACAGGGTTACAATGTAAAAAAAATTCAAAAATGTATTTTCATTTTAGTTTTAACTTTTATGATAGGAAAGGTTACATAAACACATGTAACCACAGAAAATAAATAATTTTGAGAAAAGGCTTTGTACTAATCACAACCTACACCTGACATATAATTAACATGAGGAATAAGTTTATTAAAGGTAAATCAATCGATGGATTTTCATTTGAAGAAGGATATGCACATGGTGAGATTTTGAGATCTTTTACTTCTAATTCATGTTGAACACTGGTACACTAATTTTTCAGAAGCACAGCTCTGAGGGGTGGCTAATCCGATTACCACCCTCAATCTGTTCTCCTTTTGTTGGCAAAGCTCAGCTCTTACTGTCCTTGGCTCCCATGCAGCTGGGGACGAGTGCAGAACTCAGCTTGGCCAGTAAGGTACAAGCAGAAGGAAGTATGCCGAGCACTTCTGGGAACACTTTTAATTCTTTCTAAAAGGAAAAGTCCATCTCTTCTTTCTGATTATGAGGCAAATGTAATGCCTGCAGCTGCAAGGAGCAAGAGGACCAAAAGCCAATTTGCCACCAATGGTAAAATGGACCAAAAAGATGTGGTCCCTGCTGGCTTTATTCATCTACTGGAGCAACTGAGACCTCCTTCCTTGAGACTTGCTAAAAAGAATCTTATTGGTTTAAGCCACTGTTGACATCCTGTTACCTACACAGCTAACTGTTAGTGTTCTGTTATAGTCACAGCTCAAAGTATGCCTAAGGAATCTATTCTAACCATCCTTCCAAAGCCAGACTAAACTCTAGCTTAACCAGCCTGTCCCTCCAGTGTGCCTGTCCTTTCCTGTGTGTACCTCACAGCTTCCCACATCTGGGACTTCCTAGCATACCCCCCTTTTTACTCCTCACACACACTCATAGGCCCTACAATGCACGAACAAAATCTACCTTTTTTTTTTTTTTTATCCCCTTGCCATTACCTTCACAAGTCCTTCCTCACTGTGAAAGTACCTGGGACATAGTAAATATATTCAAAACAAAGGGAAAATAAATAAACGAATAAGTGATCTATTGTTTCTCTACATTAGCATTTATATATATGAGGCAATTTTAGAAAATACTATTTTATTTATTTATTTATTTATTTATTTATTTATTTATTTATTTATTTTTACCATTTGTGCAATTTCAGATTCACATAGATGACAAAATTAGCCTCTGGACAAAAATCTGGTACTTTTTTACATTAGTAAACAGGTTCAGTAAGAGATACTGAATTATGTTTCTCTTCTCTTGAAAGTACAAACGTTAGTTACATGTTTTATAGTACAATGAGTGCAACTCTTGTGGAAGCAAAGCGCTCTGTAATCAAGTGTCTCTCCCCCCAAAGGCTAGTAAAAATGTCGTAACATTTACTGAAAACAAGAACAAAAATGAGTAAGGTGTCATATATTAGAAGAGACAATGCCACCACAAAGGAAACCAATAAACGTAATTGAGATTAACACGAATGCCTAGATATTCTCCCAACTCTCATAAAGAAAGCCCGAGGTGACACACTACTCCTAGGAAATAAGGGCCTCAGGGCTATCATTCATGCTGTTAGGAAGATATTAAAGCCTGGAATCAAACTGAAATCTACCTTCCCTCTAGGTTTCTCTTAGTCTTGGACATGAAGGAGAATGCCTTGCACTGAAATGTATGACTTCCTTTGAAGCATTTTAAGCAATAAAGCTTCTAGTATTGTTCTAAGAAACTAAATCAAATTGTCCAAATAGGCCTAACACTAACACCCTCCCGCATGGGAAGCAGGGTTAGAAAATTATGACGAATAGTGTTAATTCAACTTTCCTGACATTATACATTTTACATACATACCAATGAAACAAAAAAACACCCTTAGCATAGGTGCTCTAATACTGCTATTCTATTCTTAAAAAAAAAAAAATCCTAATTGGTTGCAATTTATCATACATATGGGTTACCCATTAGTGGTCCTGTCACGGATTACAGTTTGAAAAACACCGATTTATACTTTAGTCTTTTTTTTTAATAATATATTTTATTGATTTTTCACAGAGAAGAAGAGAGAGGGATAGAGAGTTAGAAACATCAATGAGAGAATCATCGATCAGCTGCCTCTTGCACACCCACCATTGGGGATGTGCCCACAACCAAGGTACATGCCCTTGCCCAGAATCGAACCTGGGACCTTTCAGTCCGCAGGCCGACGCTCTATCCACTGAACCAAACCGGTCCCGGCTATACTTTAGTCTTATCAAGACCTTTAGGCATTTCCCCCAAAAGACAACTTAAGACTCACAATAACAAACATGAAATGCTTGTAAGTTTCTACGAGAAATCTACTCAAAAACTGCTTATTTCAATGTTACCAATAAAGAAGAGAGAATGATGTGTACTGAACTGCCTCTGATGATAGAATTATAAAGGGATGCTGTCACTGCTCATTATTTGTGTCACCGAGGGGTAAGTCAGGGTCAGACGGACAGACACCTCCCCGCTTTGAAGCAGTCCCTTGGTGCGTCCCTGGCCTGGCAGTGGCTGCAGGCAAACTCCTGTGTTCTCCCCAGAGAAGAACGGAGTCCAAACCTGCTCCACCAGGTGGGAGAGAGCACTTCCCTGCGGAAAGCAGGTGGGTCAGCGTTGTCCTGACAAGAACATGGCCCCACCAAACCCTCCTCCCTGCCTCTGCAGTATGTCCTCACATTTCCACCTCACGGCTTAATACTAGAGGGAAACAGTGAGCCTTAAAAAACAAGTTTTTTAAAGTGTTCTAAGAAAGATACAAGAATTAATCCTTTTTTTTTTTTTTTTTTTTTTTTTTTGCAAGCAGAAGAAACATTACCCTCCACCACTAAGAAAATCTTACATAAACTCCAATATTCAGAACAAAGGCGAAGCTGCAAGAGGAGGCTGCTGCAGAGAGCGCCCACAACCCCTCCACCTCCCTTTTCATCCTCCAGGCCAGTGGTCGGCAAAAGTGGCTCTTGAGCCAGATGCGGCTCTTTGGCTCCTTGAGTGTGGCTTTTCCACAAAATACCACGTGTGGGCGCACATGGACAGTGTGACTGAAACTTCGTGGCTCATGCGCAGAAGTCAGTTTTCGGCCCGGGAGAGTCTATTTTGATGAAGTGGCATTAGAACACTCTAGGGGCTAAAGAGCCGCATGTGGCTCGTGAGCCGTGGTTTGCCAATCACTCCCCTGGGGACCCTAGAACTCCCTAGAACAAATAAACCAAGCACATCCACTGATTCTGACGTAGGGCTACTCAGAGACGCACTGCCACGTGTCCTCTCTCCCAGAATCTTTGCTGGCTCCCCAGCTCTCCAATCTCCCCCACCAGGGAACTTCCTAAAACTTCAGCATGTGACATGCCACCAAGAACCGATGTGAAGCAACATTTCTCAAGTTGTCACTCTACGCCTGATTCATCATTCTACCCAACTGATGATAATAAAAAATAAAATAAAATAAAATAAAATAAAATAAATAAAATAAAAGGAACATCAGCCAAACCAGCTGATCCTTGTTTCTCACTATCTACCACACCTCTTGCCATTATAATATGTGATAAAGCAAACCAACAACACTTTTCTGACAGCCACTGGAACAGAAAATATAGTTCTAAGGAAGTGACTGAAATATTCTAAGTTATGCCTAATATAGCAGTGTCCCCTCCAGAGTTTGATCAACCTGGAGTTCAATCGCTCGCCATGGTGTATGCTGACCGCCAGGGGGCAGTGCGGAACAAAGAAAGTGCCTGGCCTGCAGCTGGGAAAGGGAGGCCCTGGCCAACAGCTGGCAGCCACTAGGTCTCCCTACCTGTGCACGAATTTCGTGCACTTGGCCTCTAGAGTTACTATGAAACTATGAAAATATAGCTAAAGCGGAATTATTTCTTCTTTCTTTCTAGCAAGAAATATGGAAATGCTCAGAGTCACCAACTCTTAACAATGCAGAGGAGAGTGGCTTCCTGCCACATCTGACTGGTCTAGACAGACTGAAACACAATCGAGGATACATGGTGTGTGTAGATGCAAAGCTGTCATAACTACGTCAACCTATGATGTGATATTCTCTGTGATGAAGGCAAAGTGAACCATCTTTTTCTTGAAGAGACTATAATTTATGTTTTTAAATATGAAGGCTGTCTGAGAAACTAAAACCTTAAAAAAGGTTTACATTAATTTATTATGCTGAATGGTAAAAAGAACTGCTTCTAATAAAACAAAACTGAAGAGAACTAAAGACTAAGTGGAGATTAATTCCTTGGAAAAGGTTATTTGGATGGGACACATGGAAATAGGATAAGTTTACTACGAAACAAAGTTAAAAATCATTGATCTCACACTAAAAATGCACGCTTTAAAGCCTCTTTCTTTATCTTACTCCCCCAATACATTTAATTATTTCCAAATATTTAAAAACTCAACTCAAACTGTTCACTATTTCTTTTCCTTTTCTTATTTCTTTCTTCTTTTCTTTTATATGATTAGCACATTGACATAACTTGCAAAATGGTGTCTAGTAATAGAAAAAAAAAAAAGGTACCTTTTCCAATTCTCTTGGTATTCGCATACAAGTGTACACTCTTTCTCTTCTTTCTGTGTACTTGGCCTCATTATGTTCAAGGAAGTACCCTCTTGTTAGTTCAGCACTGAGGAACCTCAACAATGAAAACTCTATAGGAAAAGAAAATGACACAAAACAAAAGAACAGTATTTATCAAGGAACTTACATGCTAGCTGGGGCCATAGCTAATACATATATAAAACAATGATGAGAGAATAAAACAATGTCATCTATAATTCTGTGCCCAAAACTAAACTATACATAAATCATTAGCAAAGACTATTCAGAAAATTGCTGCTCTGTGTGGTATAAACTGAAAATCCCACAGAAATAGAGAAGAGATAATTACTATGAGCCAGAATAGTCTGAACAGTGTTTTGTAAGAGCCCAGTCTTGTGTTTTATAGGTTACATAGAACTATGAAGGCAGGTAAGAGTACAGAGTCAGTGTGTGTGTGTGTGTGTGTACACACACAGTAAATATGACATGGAGATATACATATAAGGACATATGTGTGTGTGTATACACACACACAGTAAATATGATATGGAGATATACATATATGGACATATGTGTATGTATATATATATACACATACATTCATACACACAGTAAATATGACATGGAGATATACATATACACACACACAGTAAATATGACATGGAGATATACACATATGAACATATGCGTATACACACACACACACACACACACACACATATGGATGGGTATATATGTTTGTGTTTTTAAAGGGAGTCAAGTCATCGAACAGGCACTGCTTCAGTCCAAGAACTATCCTGGGTGAACTATATGGGTACTGGTGTAACTTCAGCTTCAGAGATCCTGCAATTGCTAGGTGAAGGCTTACACAGGATGCTATCCAGGGTGCAGGGCAGGAAGAAGCTTCCCCTACCCCCAGGTTCTATCAGCTGGTCTAATGATCTAATAAATAGGAGGCAGATTAGTAAGAAAAGGTGACCAAATTCAATTACATACGCAAGTATGGGAACCCCGTATACATGAGAAGTTCAGAGACGGAAAGGGAAAATAAGTATACATGACATTCTGAGCTAGGGTTCAGGTTAGGCACATTGGGGCTTCAGAAGGTAGCTGCCCGAATTCAGTAATTATGTGTTTGCCCTGCCATGTAGATAGGTAGAGTTACTTCTGGTGGTAACTCTTAGCATGGGCCAGGCCCCTCACTTAAATTCTTCTAGATAATTGAGTGGGGGTAGGGGTGGAGGTGAAGGTGGGGGTGGGGGTGTGGGAGGCAGAAATTTCTATGGAGCCTACAGGATCTTGGTTGCCTTTAGCTCAGAATAATCCGCATACCACTGAGGCACATCTTGGGCTGGCTTGTTCCGAAGCCCTACAACAGTAAGTCACACCAAGCAGAACTTCAACCAGATCTGAAAGACTTCCCTCTCCTTGGCTCTTTAGTTTGCCACCTGTTTCCTCTGTCCCTCCACAGTTAACGCTGCCCGAGTCTTCTCGCCTCCAATGGGGAGAGTCAGGCCAGGCGAGGCTGGGATTTTCCCCTTGGCTACAACTGACCAACTAGAGACAAGAAGCCAAGCTGGTAACACCTGAGCTCAGCTTTTTCCAGGCCATCACACTCCTCCCGGCCCGTTGCCTCCAGGACCTCTCAGCGCCAACTCCATGGGCACTTGCCCACGCCTACTCCTGGGGAGGCCCAACTCTCTGCCGGATCTCAGGATACCAAAGGTTTCAAACTGCCCTCTCTGCTCTGAGCTGGCCTTCTGGTCCTCTCACCAAATGCAATAGTGGTGTCCCTTCCCAAAAATTACAACTAGAGAAGGTGATTCCTGTCTGTTTTTCTCCTTAGGGAGTTGCACCTATGTGAGTGCTAAGGTCTGCATGCATGTATAGTCAAAAAGCCCCTAGGAAGACTCAGTGGCAGACCTACTATGTCAACGGGCCTAAGACAGCTTACTTCCGCCAGCACAGGAACTGATCGCTAGTTCTTTAGGCATCAAGTCAGGTGGCTTGCATGCTTAGATGTTATTATCTCCCCCCCATCCCAAGTATTATACACACACTTCCTTTAAATACTGGGTTCATAATCTGTCTGAAGAGCTGGTGAGACCATGAAAGGTGGCTCCAGCCCAGCGCGGGTCCGCAGGGGCCCCGAGAATCAGGATCTCAGAATGCACACAGTGGAAGCCATGCACAACCAGATGGCCCTTTAAAAGGCCTTGTTGCCCAGGTCCATGTGGAGTAAAGTTACTTTTGGTGAGGAACTTTCTAATCTGTTGTAGGCTGGCTAAAACCAGAACAAGATCTGCTGCCTGAAGGGGTGAATAAGAAAGGCTTCTGAGCTATGAACAAGAATAGCCCAAACTGGTGAAAGAGCAAAAATTACACCCACACTCCATTCAGTCAGATTTCCATGAGAAAGAAAGACTGTTCCGATCGGTTTGTATCGATAAGTACTGGGTGTTTCATGTAAAAACCGAGAAGCAACGGGACACAGAGAAAAGAAGAGACGGCACCTGCACACGCTCTCCTGGGTGCCAGTGAGCTGTCATAGCACGGGAACCCACGCAGCCCCTTCCCCGGGGTTCCCACTCCTCCCTGTAGCAGACTTTTCTGTCCTGAGCTCTCTGGAGGTTCCTCCTCATCATCATCACCCTTAAGAGTTTGCTGGTTGGTGCTCCATTCACGACACCCAGCAGGAGACCCAGTGACACGCTGGCCATCTGTAAGGCTGGTTTTCTCTGATGCGTCCTCAGTTACCTTCTCTTTTCCTTTTCTTTTCCCTACTCTCCTGGGGCAGTCTGAGTTAAATCCTAAAGTCACCAGTTCTTTAGCTCTGACTCCTGAGCCTGGACCCACGTTTCCCATCGGTCCTGGGCAACTCCCTCTGTAAGTCCCCCAGAGCGCTTTAGCCTGCAAAACGGAGCCCAGGACCTTCCCACTGCTCTCTGCCTGCAGCCCGCCGTTAGCTGATGGCACCAGCGGGTTCTACGCTAGAAGCTGATGATGCCTCAGCTCTCTCCTCTCACCAACGCCTGCTGATCTTGCTCTGAAACACCGAACTTTTCCTCCTTTCCACACTCCAGCTCCGCTGGTCCTCCTCCTCTCTCTCCGGGTTACCACCAGACCTTCTTAACACGTGTCCATCTCCCCATCTTCCCCCTTCAGCCCTGGCGTGGCCTGGCAGCGCGTCAGCGGGCTCACACACCAGGGACAGCCTTGGGCGGCTGGCTCTCTGGCTCCTTATTACTCCAGGTAAGGTCCCACCTCAGTGAGGACAGCAGATCCCTTACGACGTGGCCCCTGGCTCTCTCTCAGCCGGGCCCTGCACCTGTGCCCTGAGTCTCTGGGTCACGAATCTCCAGTTACACTACTTTTCAGTTCTTGAAAACATGTCCGTTGGCTCCCATAGTTTGTTGGCCTGAGATTCCCTCCCAGCTTTCTATAGGTGATCAGGCACAGCCTCACCTGCTCTGTGAGGACACTCCCAAGTCGCCAGGAGAACCACCCTCCCCCGCTCGGTGCCCCCTGCATCACCCGTGCCTGTGCTTCCGGTGCCGGATTATACTCATTTCCTGTCTGGTTTTCTCCCCACTTCTGCATCCTCGGGGCAGAGCACATAATAGGTGCTCAACGAAGGCTCTGCTAAAATAACACAGATCAGAGAAGAGGAAGGCAAACCACAGAGAGGTGTGGCAGAGAACAGAAACAAAATTGGAAATCAGAAATGGCAAAAGCAGAGACACCAGATCCTCAAGAAGAGAGCTAGTGACCATAACCAAGACAGGTGTTCTGAGAAGGGGTGGAGGGTGAGGTGGAGGGGTAGAGGGTGGGGGGCAGGAGAGCGTGGAAAGCTCCTGCGCCTCTCTGGACACAGCAGCCATTGAAGATGAGGAGCATTTCCTCTGTGTCCAAGTGACTGTCAAGGTGACCTGAACCCCCATCCCTAAAGGGCAGAGGCCACGTGAGTGCCCTGGGGTGCGGAGACCAGACTGCATTATCCACGGTGGGTGCAGGGAGGGACACTGGGAAGTCCCAGGACATCAGCCACATTAAGGAGATATAGAAACGGGTTATCACACAATATTCAGTCTAAAAAAGCAAACTGCATTCGAAGACAGAGATAACTATCCCCTTGTTTATTCAGAAATTCTCCTCCACGTGACATTTCCCTGATGATGGCAGCTGCCTGAGCCTGTATATAAGCGTGTTGTTATGATTCACAAGAAAAACCACGGCCAAAGCCACAGGAAGGGTCCCGGCACCAGCTCTGGAGCACGCTCATCTGGGACCCTCCCCAAGGCTCGGAGCTCCACTCACAGAGCAGACCCGAGGCTGAGAGCCCTTACACCTGCGCCTCCTGCCTCCGCACAGGGGGCTGCCGGGCCGAGAGAGGGTTTACTTGAAAGCATGTGAGAATCACAGAGCATGACACAATGTCTTGAACGACTTTACTATTAATATCACAAGATCTGTACATTAACCAATTCTAGCTGGTGGTTACCTAATGTTTACTGATGCTACTTGTGCAATCCCGTTTCCATGGATAAAAGGTAATCTGACAAATAAGCATATTTCACAACCGTATACTTTTCTGTAAAGCAGTTTTAGAATATAAACCTATGAAAGTGTTTTAACTACATTATAAATGAATAAGAAAACTGTTGTGTCAGGATTCCACCTTTAGAAATGCAAGAATTTTAGATATAAACACCAATTTACATTTCACAATGGGAAAATTTTAAAGTAAGTCCTTAAAAATCAAATGATAAAAATATGTTTTGAGTGCATAGCTCTTACAATTATGAGACAGGCTTTATTGTGATGTCCATTTTGTAGATGCAGAAACCGAGGCACAGACGGGTTAAGGAAGCCTCCAGCACCACACAGGAGTAGGTGGTGGAGCCAGAATTCAAAACCAGTCCATCCTTAAAGCGTGGGCTTTGGGGCCTGGGTTATTTTGACTATCATTGACTTAGTGCTTTCTGGAGAACTGGGACGTCCTCCCTGTTCTGTGCTCCTGTAGCCGTGCGTTTGCTTCTAAGTCACACTTTGCTGGCTCCTTTGCAGCCCAGAGCTTTCTGAAAGCAGGGAGCACGTATCTGAATCTTCC